CAGTTGTTCTATTCTAGGTAGTGGATACTTTTCATTTATTACGAACTTATTAACTGTTACTCTATAGTCTATACACAATCTTAAACTGTTATCTGGTTTTCTTATGGGCACTAAAGGTGTTGCCCATTCACTATGCACTATTGGTTTTATTATTCCATCTTTTAACCATTTATCTAATTCTTTATCTATCTCTTCTATCCACGAAAACGGTAATCTTCTTATGCCGCAAAACTTAGGCCTATAATTTTCTTCTAATCGTATATCTACTTCAAAATTTTTCAGAGTACCTAATTCTTCTTTAACACTTTCGCGTCCGACATATTTCCCGTGAACAAAAATTTTTTTTCTTCTAAAACTGAGTTAAATAAGACGCAAATAACACATTTTCAACGTTTTTTATTTTAAAAAGTGTATATATATAGAATTATAAAATGTTACCAATTGTCATCATTGGGATATTCATATGTAAAAAAATATACAATTTATTTCGAATGATATGAAATAAAACAATTGCGATTTTTATTTAAACATAAAGATATTTTACATTTTAAACATTCAAATCTTGTATAACCATTTTTGCAATTCTTGCATCTTTGTCTGTTAGCCGCCGAGGGCCAATGCCCTATTTTATCGAATCTAATATCTGGGATTGGATGAAAACTATTCAATTTCTTTCTTTTTTTTTAATCTTCAAATTATGTTTACCTTCTTTTCCATAATTTTCCTTTCCAACCATCATTAATCCTTTAGTTATCCGAGCTTTAAACGCTAAAAGAAATATATATTTATCATCTTTCTGTTTGATGTAGCGTCTATAGAGTAATCACGAATTCACTACACAGGAATCTAATAAATGAAAGAAAATTCGCATGTAAAAGCGCTTCCATTTTATGTCAATTCTGTATAGTTCAATTAACATATCACGGAGATCCACTCCGCCCATACTAGCATTATAATCTTGAATTATAGCCGGAATTTCGACATTAATAAAAGATTTTTCAGATACCGACCATCTTTTCGTTCGTGATGTGGGATTTATACCCATAAATGATGATATCGTGATAACCGATTTGTTATCAAACCATTTGCAAATTATAATATTATTATTAGAATCCACTTTATAATCAAGGGACCCTCTTCCTTTTTTCTTTAAGATTTTATCATCAACCAGATGGCATCCTAATAATCGATTAAATATAATGGTCCCCGACATGATAAAGCCATTATCTTTGAGCGCAACTGCTAAATTATGAAGAAAAAAAGTTATCCATGTAAATTTTATGATTTTTATGTGGGGGAACAGTTTCTAATAGTCGTATAACAATATCTCCGCTAATTCCCATCAAAGTTTTTTATATTTGTGCATTTTCCTAAATATATTTCGAAATCATATAGCATTCCAGATGATTCACATAAAGCGAAAATTCTAATTCCCCATTTATGCGGTTTTGAGCTAATATATTGTTTAAATTCACATCGCCCTTTGAAGGGCACTATCATTTCATCAATTGATAATTTTTCCTCTAATTGAATCTTTCTCATGTTCATTTTTAATGCACTAATAAATGGTCTTAGTTTGAAAAGTTTATCGTAATTAGGCTGGCCCCTAAGGATTATATTATTATTATCATTAATATGAAAGTATTTTCTCAATTCCAAGAATCTGTTTCTTGTCATGCATTGAGAAATTTGAGGAATCACTGTCTCTATAGCCCAATATTGCCTTATTGATGGCAATTTAACAATGCCCGTATAAAGGTGAATTCCGAGAAATTTTTCAATTTCACTTTAGATCAACTACTGTGGCATTTTCAAAGTCATCATCCTTCTCAATATCTACATCAGATATATCTCCCTCTGATATAATACATGTTGAGGTCATCTAAAAATTATTTATAAAATTTTTAAAAAAATATAAAATAAAATTTTCACTTTCTTAACTTTTTGCAAATATTATAGTGGCTTGCTAAATGGGAAATAGCCTATATTTAGTGTTGTTAAACGGCTCGTTTTGAGTCGATTTTTAAAAACGGCTAACTCAATATTTCATCCAGAATAGTATTACGCAAGCCTGAAGATTTTGTTTGTAGAAGGAATAAAGGTTTGGACATCTATTAGCGAAATCTCGAGGCTTAGGGAATATTTTTCTGGCTAAAATATTGAGTTAGCCGTTTTTAAGAATCGGCTCAAAACGAGCCGTTTAACAACACTACCTATATTCAATTCTTACTATATCATATTTTCAATATTTAATTTTAAAAAATTTATGGAAAAAATTACATAAGAAAATCCCAATGTTACCAATTTGGATTCTCTTTAAAAAATCATATAAAAAATAGTTATTGTTAATTTTTTTTTACTAAACATGAAATACTAGTAATAATCTATCATAAAAATATTATTTACCTTTGATTTATATATATTTATATAGAATGGTAATCGATGTAAAAGTGTAAAAATTTTGGCGCCTAAAATACCTAACTTTGAACTTATATTCTGATATAATAAAATAATCATTTTGCCAGGTTAATGATAAAATATGAAAGAATAAATATTGTTTTGTAAATTAATATGTCTAAATAGCAACCTTTCGTTTTTTAAATATAAAAATTAATTGATTAAAAATTTTGATGACAAATGATCTCGCTGGGCACGAAAGGGTTAAAGACTTCCTTATACCTATTCAAAATAATCTTTATTTCTTTGTCAAAAATATCCTCAACAACCTTCTGGTCTACCATATTATTAATTTCTTGTTTAATTTCGACTGAATCTACCTCTATTGTTTTATATCTCCTATTTTCTTATTTTCTTCTAAATTGCTTCTATATTTAATCAAAAATTCTGGTGTTCGATTTTTTAGTTCAACGAGAACTAGCTCATTTTTGAATCTTAAACAAGGTAACTCAGTCTTCTCCTTCTCTTCACTTCTTATTATCTCTTTAGTCATTTTGTTGTTCTCATGTATATTTTCAATCAAAGACCACCACTTATAATCAGGACCTATCTGCTTAATGTCATTCCAACTTAAAATTGGTTCCATATTTAGTGTCGTAATCCATAACTTTATTTCCTTATTTATATCTACCAATTTTATTATATAAAAACCTAGAATTTTAATCATGTTTCCATCTAACTGTCTCACTTTTATTTTCTTTGTAATGAATCTCTCTTTTGTAAAATATTTATTAAATTCTTTTACACTCATTAAACTAATCTCAGCTCCAGTATCCAATAAAAAGCTAATTTCAATTTCTCCTATTTTTATTTTAATCCTAGGACATTTATTTTTCCTTATTATATTTTCCAACTCAATTTTGCATACATTTTCTGTTTCCAAATTTTTTTATCATTCACATCATTTATACTATTATCATTTATTCCTAATTTACAATTAAAATTATAAAAATCAGATATACTATTACTAATATAATTTATATGCTTATTCTCTCCTTTATATAGTCATCTGTTACATGCTTCCTGAACATGTCCTTTTTGTCCACATTTTAAACATATTAAATTATTATCTATAAAACTTCTACAATTTGTTACTATATGGCCTTTCCGTCCACATCTCGCGCAATTTAAATGTCCAGTTAAATCACATTGCCTCGAAATGTGTCCGAACTTTCCACAACTGTAACACCTAATTGTCCTACCATTATCTATTTTTTGACTTATCTTGCTTTCATTTCTTATCGCGTTTTTAATTCTTTCTACTTCTTTATTTTCCAATCTTATTACTGACGTATTTCTACCTATAATTAATCCTAATGCGAAACTTAAAATTCATACCAAAATTATAATTATACCTATATATTCGAGAACTAAACTTAATAAATTAATCTGTGTAATGTACATTATAATGTACTCAATAACCACTTAATTAACAAAATTTTAAATAATTTAAAAAAATTGCATACATATAAAATTACTACTATAATAAATAAAAATAATAATAATTTATATAACATAAAAATAAATTTGTTTTTACCTTTGATTTCCTATGTGTATATCTAACAAGCCCTGATTTACTTCGGCCCAAATTGTTACAAATCCGAACTAGCTCAGGGGCTTAATGTTATTTGGGAGAGCGTAACAGGAATAAAGATAAATAAAATCTATATAAAATAAACAAAGGATTAATCTTAATAATAATTTAATTAATAAACACTTACTATTCAACGAACCTAAAATAATATGATATAAACTCCTTTAATTAATTTATTTTTATTAAATAACTGTATTACCTTTTTTGTTTGGTAGAAGACCCTGAATCTTTTCTTTCTAACAATAAATTAGGATTCTATAATGAACACAAAACAATTTCTCTTTATATTAATTTTTTATAATCATTTGAATATTAAACATAATAATTTTTCGAAGAAATAAACATATAAAATAAAAATCCATCATTTAAATTAATGTTATTCCATAAAATATAAAAATGTAAAATTTATCTTTGCATATAACAAATATAAGTACAACTATTTTTTAAACTAAATTTGCATAATACAACAATTTCGAATATTTAATTTTTCTCTGCTATATCAACGGGGTCAGAATTAAAATTTTTTGGAAATGAAGAGACTCATGTAGTCCCAAATTAAGGATTTACCTAAAAACCAAGGCACAGAAGTAAAGCCATCAGGTCTTAGGCCATCATCTAATGATAAATTAGCAGGCTCCAGGATGTTTGGTATTCGAGCCTTCATAAGAGAACGGCTAGTAACCGAATTAATTGCTGCGTGTCTTGCATGTCTGCCTTAACTATATATACAATTAAGACCAAGTATTCCTTTGGAATCAACTAATATTTTACATTTTATGCATGTATGTGGTTGAACTATGTTACATCCAGTTCGATGGCCTATGACAACTCTTAATTGTTCATCTGATTTACATAGGTTACCATTTGGTAATTCTTCCAGCTATTCATAACTACTATTACAGTTTATCAACAACTAAAATTAAATAAAAATGATTATATATATAACCAGGCGTAACTGATTTGTTCGGCGAATCTTTCAGCAGCTTTAGCGGCAGCGAGGATGAACGCGTCAAAGAAATCGATCTATCCGAATCCGATGAACTTGAATTGGAGGAAGATGGAGACGAAGATCTAGACGAGGAAGAGGAATACGATTTTAGCGATGGCGAAACCGAGAAACACCTAATGGGGCGGGCTGAATCTGGGCAAATTGGACCAGATCACGCCTACTTGTCCTGTTCCGATTTGGTACGTCTTTTTTCTTCGAACCTTTGTAAATTTTTTGTTTTAATCGATTGAGATATTAATTTTTTAAATCTATAATATATATAAAAGCCGTGTCACAGTCACAGTGTCACAACTTATAATATATATTTTAAAATCGTGAATTTTGAGAAGCGTCTGTTGCCTAATCGGCAAGAGCGTCGTTTACAAATCTGATGGCTTAAAAATCATTTTTTCTTAATCTAACTTGCTGATTCCATCCTTGGGGAGATGATAATATCTATCTATCTATAATATATAAAAGCCATGTCACAGTCACAGTGTCATAACGTAATAGCTAATAGTATTCTTTAAAATATTCGTCCAATAAAAATCACCATAGTTTATTCGGTCCAATGATAATATCATATATCAAACATAAATCATTTAAGCTACCTTAACATATATACTAGAATTTTTAGGTTAATGAATAAATTAGGTAGTACCTAAATGAATAATAAGCAAAATATAAATTTGATAGGTACTACCTTAAGACAATACCTTATATGTATATTTAAAAAGTCGTGAAATTTGAAAAGCGTCTATGGCCTAATCGGCAAGATCGCCGCTTACCAATTCGATGGTTTTCGGTTCGAATCCCAGCAAACATAATTTTTTTTCTTAATCCAATTTGGTGGTTCCGTTCTTGGTGGGGTGATATATTGGAGGCCGGACTCGACCAAGTGATTCCGTTATAATATATGTTAAATAGTAAGGGTCTTGTTTTTATTTTTTAAATAAAATATCAAAACTCTGGAGAACATTGTACAAGGAGTGCTTAGTGCCTTCCATTATAAATATTCCCACAATCTAATAAATATTTGCATTTTATACAATTATATATCTTTGTTACATTCTTTAAAAATTTGAAATTGGGCCAAGCAAAACTTAGCAAGAACATTAATTAAATTCCCATTTGGCCTGAAAATGTTGTCATTTTCAGACCTCTGGTGGTAAATTGATGGGAAAATAAAAGTGGCAGAAGCATATCATTTATAAATGGATTTTTTGGGCAGAGGTAAAATACATTATGATCTGCTGTTTCCGATGTCATCCTTATTAGAGAGGTTCCTGCTTACTCATTTATTATTTTGTTTAACTTGCCTGTCCAACTTTTAAAAATTATTACATTGGTTGATTTGGTTCTTTATGTATTATTTTAATGTTTTTTACTTAAACTTTAAATTATGAAATAAAAAAATAATATCTAATAATAAATAGAAGTCAGTTGCTCATTTTGCCTGAAATATATTTCTAATTCACCTACCCATTGTTTTAAAAATATTTCCCACTCACCAACCCAATATCTTTCAGTCTATCCACTGAATAGGCGGGTTTAAGTTAGGCAAAACCTTCATCTTGCAAAAATAAATAAGGTTTAAATTGCAAATGAATAAAATTTATTTAGGAATATTTTTTTATTGAGCACATAAATATAATTTTTACAGATTTTATCAAAATAATATAATGAAAATACATATGTTCCAATTATATATTTATATTGAAGGTAATAAATATATCAGAGACTTGTAGGTACCTTTTGCACAGCCTGCCCGGGATTTTTTTTAAAAAATTTTTTGGTATGGCCCGGTCTGGATTTAAAAAATTATATTTTTATTTTCAATTTTTATAGATAATAATGGCTATTTAAAATATACGGCCTGACCTGGGTACCTTTAAAATTTTTAGGCCCAGCCTGGGTATATTTAAAATTTTAAAATATGGCCTACCCTTCCCCCCCTGTACCTATATCAAAATATATTTTTTTATAATTAGGATCATCTTGAAAAATGGATCCACATCATGAGAAGGCAAACTTATTCAAAACTCTGGGGATAACAATTTACTAATGAGTGTTTTGTGGCTTCCATTGTTATTAAAAAAACCCTTAAGGAAGGATCCATTCCCACAATCTAATAAATATTTGCATTTTGTATGATTACTAGCTGATATCCCACAAGAATGACAAGGAATTAGTATTCACTTTAATTTGATGATGGATAACTCAAAAATAAGCCTATATGAGGTGTGAATCAGAAATTTACTTTATTTTGATGAGTTAATTCCAATTTTCATTATTTTTATAATATGTTAATGACGTAAATATATACTTATTGCATTCAATATGAACAAATATTTGAAACATGTTTGAATATACTTTTTTTTAATTATATTAATTTCCTTATTTTTTTTAATTTTTATTATTTATGTACTCAATAAAAAATTTAATCTTGCTAGATGAGGGTTTTGTATATTGTTATCATGGAAACAGATTTTGGATTTGGACTTATTAAGAATGAGTCTTTTATAATTGGCTTCAAGAAATTGAAAACCAATTATTTTAAGAAGAGCATCACAGATTGTTCCATCATCAAGATACCAAATATTTATATCCAAATCAAATTTAGATTTAAACTAATAGATGAGATAATGAATACTAAGGTAAAATAAACGAAGACGTGTGCCCCATGCTGGATCCTTTCGTCAGAATCTATGACATATGAGCTGAATAAAGGAGTTTTAATGTTACAGTATGTCTCTAGGAATTTTGAATAAACATTTGGGATAAAAACAATTTATGAAATGTTCACTAAATTTAATATTGAAAGCATTTTTAGTCTACTTTGATAATAGCCATGTTAGGAGGAAGATTTTGGAATACAAATGGCATATGAAGTTTTTTGCCTTCTCCCTTAATACCAAATCCTAATTGATACGCATATTTATTTAGTTAAAACCCCGGATTTTGACCCGTGGCAATTATTTTTGATAATAATCTTCTAAATAGCCTGCAATGGGGTAGATATTACCATAGTGTTTGTGAGATATTCAGCTTTGCCCCCAGATTCGAATCTATGATGGCAGGTCTTTCTTTAAAAGATTATTTAGGAAGGTTTTAAGGCCTTTAAAGATTCTTTGAGTGAATGTAGATTTTATATGAAGTGAGAGGGCAAAAACCATTGCGTCTGGATGTGGAAAATTTGTTAAAAGAATTAATAAATATCATACCTTACAAATCATATTTTTTTTTATTCCATATTTTGATTCATCCATCGTTAAATAAAGGTAAAATTTATTATTTATCCAAATTCTGATTCCCCGTAATTCTTGACGGGCTATCAGCTAGTATTAATATAACAGCTTGAAATTAAATTCTTGAACAAAATAGCCTCTAAAGGATCAAATGTATAGTAGTAAAAAAGATATTTAGATCAGTTATTTATTATTTTCTAAAGATAAAATGTTCCACTAAAGATGACGGTATGAACTTAATCCCAACTGGCGACTTCATCATGAGTACCGAAGAAGATGTTACAAGCGAAAGTTCTCTTGTGGCGATTTCCAATTTTGGTTTATTTTTATATAATGCTTTTTTCTTTTACAATTCACTATGAAATATGAGAAAACCTTGCTAATTAAAAAATCAAATTAATTTTTTTGAAAATATAACTAATTTGGTATAATAATCTTATACTTTTGGGTTCACCAAAATGAACTGGATTGGTACTTAGCTCCGCATTATGAGATTTCAATATAAAGTGAGTGACACGGTAAAATATTGCTCAGGATTAAATTATTTTCGATAATGATACTTTCGTCATATTGAATTAGAATTTAAAAATCAGTTATCTTAATTAAATTTAATAAGATCATCAATAAGATTTATTAATTTATACTGCACACGGTATTCCGTAATGGTAAAAATCTTTTTTTTGGTTTGGTCACACTACAAATTCTGCCACAATTTTTTTTAACTCAGCTGTGATACTGTTAGTGGTTGATATATTTTCTTCATTGACAATAATATTTATGATTGAAAGCTCTTTTCAATAGTGGTTAATATAGATATAATATTTAGAGTAGACCTCTCCAGGTTCAAATACACGATCTAAAAAAACTCAATAGATGCGATTATGGCCAGATTTAGCCCCACTACCTAAAGCAAGTTTTATTTTTGAGTGTACTATAATTGAGTTTTATTTCAAATTATAAAACAAATGTTTTAAGATATTATTTTAAAACAATATAATGAATAAAAAAATTTTATAATACTGGATACACCATCTCTTTATCCTTCCAGAGTGTATATAAATCATAGTTGTGCATTTGACTGGCCAAATAGGATTCAGTCAAATATGGTCAAATACAATAAATTTGTTTTAAGACATTATTAACTTCATTTTATACAAAATAGTAAAAAATGAATCTATGTAATAATAAATTATTTTAAAAAAAATCCTATAATTAATGTTTCGCTCTCCATGGCAGAGTCTTGTTCTGATTTATATTCAATATTATCATTTTCTTTTAATCAATTTTAGATTATGAAATACTTTTACCAATTTTCTGGTTGTCGAGATCTTCAATCGATTTCTTTTCTTCGTATGAATATTTTGCCCCATATTGACCAATTTCTTTCTAAAGAAATATAACTAGGAATTGTTAGTAAGATATTATATTAGATACTTCTCTTAATGTTCAAATTGGGTAAAGCTAATTCCAACAACTTGAGGAGGAAATCTGATTGTTTTTTATCAAATTATTGCCTTCCACATATTTTGGTTATTAAATATAACCGCTTTTATTTCTTAAATTTATGATATCACTTAAAATATCTTGATTATCGTCACCTTATTAAATGCCTAATTCTTGTATTATATCACATGCTTCGTCAAACTCACTACTAGTGATATATGGATTCTTTTCCTTTTTCAAATTATCTTCAATTTTTTTTCTTCAAATGAAGAAATTATAAAATCATGGTATGATCGAATTGTATATCTTCCAAATTAAGGATCTCTTTTTTTACGTGGGCTAAAGTGTATTTATCCCTTTGCACTTACAACAATAAAAGAGCTAAAGGTTAAAGAATAGTTTAAAATTTTTAATTTTTTGTCCAAAATATTTCTTCATTTAATATATTATTGAATTTCTTTCGGACAAATATCCAACTTCTCCAACAACTGCTTCAGAGTTTTCTTCTTGCTCCTTACATATTTTATTGATGATGTCCATCTTGTTTGGATAATTGTACATAAGGTAATACAAATCGGCAAGTAATTTTCTAAAACCATCCTTTAGCAAAATTATTAAATTTATATACTGAGATCCAATCAAATTAATAATGTGAAAAATTCTTTTATTTTTGTTTTATATTTTAAAATGAAATTCTAATATTTTAATATGAGAATCTTATATTTTAATATGAAAATTTTATATTTATAATTAAATTGATATATCTTAAAATAAATTGTAACCTAATTAGATGCTTTAAATATATATTAATTAAATCAATTTATTAATTCACCAATAATATCCTAGGTCAAATACTCCTTCGGTTATGACCGGTCAATTGACCGACTTGCCAATCCTGGTTTAAATCATAACTTTTTTTTATTTAAGTCAGATTTTTTTGGATTAGGATTTGTGAAATTTTTTTTATACCTATTAATTATAATGTATAAGGATGAAGATCTTAAGATAATTCCTGCCTGTAAATAGAAACAAGTTTTTTAGGCATAACAAAAACTTAATTAATTCGGTCTCGGTAAACATTTATTTTTACTGAAAATTGAGGGCACCCCATACTATACCTGAATGATATTTTCTTGATTATTTCCATTAATACTCTCATCTGACATTTTTGAAACATTTTTTTATATTAAATTTGTGAAGACACTCAAAATAATTGACATAATTTTAAATCAACAATATATATTTTGATGATCCCAATTTCAATCACAAAATCCTTGGAAGCAGGGCCGTTCAAACGGGGGGGCGAGCGGGCAGAGGCTCCGGGCCGCCTAAATTAGACATTTTTAGGAGCCGTCAAATTTTATAATTTTACTTTTTTATCCTCTTGAGAATTTTTTTTGTATATACTACATAATAGACATTCTTTTTTGTGTAAAAAATCCAAGTATGAATTTCGAAAAAAGGTTTGCAAGTCTAGCCATTTATATTATAACAAAAAAAAATTTATATTTTATTTTAAAAAAAACTTCATTTATTTTTTAGTTAAGAAATTTAAAAAAAGAGGTCTTGCAGGTAATCTAATCATCGTATATAAGCGTTTGGTACATTTAGGTTAATAAATAGTTATAATATGAAATAATAAATACGAAACACAAATCATAATTTATATAAAGATTATAAATAAATTAGTATAAATTATAATTTAAATAAGCGAAAATTTGTGAATTCTTCACCTAAAAAGTAGCATTTTGCTTTGGTGGCCACTGATCTTCTCGACTTCTGCGCATCTTTATTCGCGTTTTTGTTTTTGTCATTAATTTTTCTGTCTTTTATCGCTTGAGATCCAATTCCTTTTTAGCGCCATCGCTACGATTGGGAGAAAAATGGCCTAAGTCTATCCTATGCACAGAATGTTCAATCAGGGGGTTTCATTCATTGAAGGAATAAAGCTGAGATGATTGTATTTTATTATGTTTAAGGCCAACCTCTGACGTAGATAGTGTCCCTCGTTGGGATCCTCGGTCCTATCAGAGATTTGGTGCTCCAGCTCTTAAAAAAAGCCAGGGCATGAGAGCCAAACGATGTTAAAGTCGTGGCGATTAATGGTAGGAATGTTTCGCCTCGGCGTCGAGCATTCCTATTTATATTGGAAGGGGTAAGAGGATCGATGCATGAGAAATCCTAGATAAGGAATTCCCCCCTCTTCCAAAGGATCATGATAGAATTATTAGACCCATTTAGCATCGGAATTGTAAAGGCCAATGGGTTCGAGAGTTGACGGGATGCCAGCAGATTTTAAGGCTCTGGAAATAGTATCGTTTCATATGAATGTCTAATGAATCTGCTTCTACAACGCTTGCAGTGCTAAGAGTGACGGTTTTTGGAATAATCGATGTTTGACAGGGAATACAGCGATAGGGTATCACCATATCGCAATTGAGTCTAAGACCAATGGCGTGACTTAGCTCATAGTTATTTAGAAGCTGGTCACGATTTCGCAATGAGAAAGCCTCGAGATATTCGTAGCCGCTATCTGCGAAAATGGAAATTATTAGATAATAGTTTTTGGGTTAGCTCCTCGATTTAAGGCATGCAACGGAGTGGCCAACTGGAGGTTTATCCCAGTCCTTTTGTAGTGCTGATGAGGGAGGATTGTTTAATGAGAGAGATTTGATCAGTTACCTGCTTTAGCAAGTGATCAAGATGTTTTGTGAATGCGTGTATGATGGGCTCGCAAGACAGACGAGAGGATATGAACACACTAATGGAAAATAGCGAGGGCGACCTTATGCCAATACCACCGGATTTAGTTGGTAAGGTAGCCTGTAACCAATAGGTCTCCAAATTTAAGATTGTGTATATTTCTGTGAGGCGTTTGATCCCAAGCTCATGCGCAGCAAGGATGACATCATATTGGAAGATTCGCGACGATCGGAGTGTATATAAAATTCTCTGAATTAGAAGGTAGTTCTTCAGTAGAGAAAGCTTGATGGGTTGGGAGGCGCGATAGTGTATCGTGATGGAGATCCGAGATGTGTCAAAGAGTTCAATGGTATATGATTGAACATAAAATTATGGTTAAGGTTAAATAATCCCAAGCAGAAAATATTCGCTCCTGCCTGGATTAATTTACAGTCCAAACTACTCTCGCTGGATTTTATTATCTTTATTGCCTTCATCATTTCATTCGGTGGGCAGGTCTTTCTAAACTATAACCAGTGTATATGTGACACATACTTGCAGTTTCCCAGCTGAGTTAAAAAAATTGTTGCAGAACTTGCCACTAAAAATTGATCCAATCAAAAAACGTAGAACCTAAGTTAATATGGTATATACTATGCTCAATATAAAACGTTAGCTAGGATAGGGGCTGAATAACTTAATGTTCCTAACAAAAATAAGTAGAAGAAAAGATTATAGCATTGTTGATATTATTTTAATATTGGCATTATGTCCAAATTATCATAGTTATAATTCTTATCATTTTTTGCCCCCATTATCTGCCTCACCTGTCCTATAAATAATTTTTTGATAAAGTAAATTCCATTGATCTTTAATCACAATTAAAAATAAGATAATTATAGATTGCTCTCATCTTTGACAATTTATTATTTCTTCTCATGATTTTGGGGGAATTTTTTTATTTTTTTAAATGGATTTCCTTAATTAATCATTTTTTTTGAAACCAAAAATCACAAATAAATACTAAAATTTAGAATTGAAAAAGGAATTGTTTAAAAAAAATTTCTGATACACAGATATCCGACAAAATAACTCTTAATATTTCAGCTGATAAAATTACTATTGGCGCTTTCAATCTATCAAATCTTGCATTTTTTGAATTTAATTATAATGCCAGTAAACCTTTCCTACTAATATAGTTAAAAATTAAGGAAACGTTCCCAGGAACTAAGTTAAAATTTCTTTTAAAATAACCGAGTATTCAAACATTTGGAATTCATTAGAAAACGGTTTAAAATACACGGTACAAAAGATTAATATTATAATATCAGCTGATTTAACCTCCTTAATGCAAGATTATAATAGAATATTTACTTAAATTTGAATTATAAAAGTGCATCGCAAAATTACATACATTAAGTTAGGTAATTATTTGTTTATTTCAAATGCAACGAAGTTATCGACATATAATACTGTTAAAATTTTTTTTTATTTTTGGCGAATTTGTGAAATTTTTACGTTTTCTTACACCGAGATTCATTCATTTCATAATTTCTAGGAATATGTGATAGATTTGGAAGCTCAAATGATTTTAATTTTGAAATATTTTTTAGTATAACAATATTAGCAAATTTTATGGTAAAATAAATGATAAATTATTATTGTTCTGTTTATTTTTCAAAATATGCACAGATACATCCACCCGCACACTTGAGATACAAAACAAACTCAGATCAATCCAGGATAAAAGATTCAATCATTTGGCCGATCTGCAGTGCATAGAAAATCCTGCATTGAGACAAAGGTTTCAAAATATGCTAGACGTGTTGGAAGAAGAGGAGACTAATCTTAAGCGTGAACTTCAAACCATGAAATGAATTCGATAAATTATAATAAAAAATTTTAGAAAATAAGAATTGAAGAAGTACATGCGCAACTAATATCAAGATTTGATTTCCTAATCATAAATTGGTGTTTTCCCCATTCATTTTAAAGAGATGCATGTTTGAGAGTAGAAGGGGGAAAATATTAATCTTTAAATTAATTTGTTAAATATAGCCATTTTTATTTAATGTTTTAACCTTTTTGTTATTTTCGATATTGGCATAATTTATGCAAGAATTTGAGCAAAATTAACAATTTTTATATACAAATCAATCAGCCAACTAATTCTTTTTAAATTAACAATCTGAGTTAAGCTCTAATGTTCATTATATATATATACAGGACATGTATTAGGTTAATATAATCTCTTATACATAATTACTTAAAATAATATTTAAAAAGTAGACATATAGTTGATATTACTCTATTATAAAGAATTGGTTATAAAATACTAGGTGAAATTCCATTTTTACAGACATATTTGACAATATATTACAGTTAATATTTTAACAAATTCTACTAATCAATGCTTTTGATAATAAATATAGCAACCATTGCATTCATTTAGTTAACGCCATCTATTTATTTTAAATAAAAATTGATATTAAAATTAATCTTCATATTATTCATTTCATAATGTCTTTAAAAGATAATTTCTGATGTCCTTATCAATATTTTATAGTTTTTTGTAAAATATATAATTCGCTATATTGGTATAAATTATTTGATTGTCATAAATGATAATTGAATTAAATATACTGTAAATCTAAGACATATAATATTCCACTGTTTGAATTGTGCTTTAATTTTTTTTATCTAATTTATGATTTAATTTTATCAATAGTTTTATGATTATATTTTACGTTTATTAAGATATATAAATTAAAATTACTCACTTTATAAAGAATTATATTTGATATATTATATTATTTAGTAATTTTATGGATCTATTATTAATAATTATAATACATTTCACTTTCGTCTTAAGACTTATCTTTGACTTATATTCCATTTCTTAAAAAACATTTTTGGTTCACCTTTTTATATATATAAATGCTTTTTTCCAAAAATGTATAAATTATGATGAATAGTTTTAGTTTAAAAAAATATCAACTTTTACATTCTTACTTTCGTAAAGATATATGCATACAATTTGGGGGGTCAGGGAGTAGGGGGAGGACTAAGGGGGATATTTTTTATTAGCTTAAAATTATAAATTTCTAAAGGGGGAGGGGGATTTCCCCTTGCCCCCCCCCCGGCTAAGCCTATTTTGTCGCTCCTGCAATGGTCGATTCATCAGACATACACAATGTAATTCAATCATCCAACGTGCCTTGAAAACAGCTCAAATACCATTCATACTAGAACCCCAGGGTGTTTATAGATCAGACGGTAAACGTCCTGACAAGATCACCCATATTCCGTGAAGGATAGGCCAATTATTGGTATGGGACTATTCATGCATTGACCCCCCTGGCCCCAAACCCCAACGGGTCAACTTTAAATCTTAAAATACACAGATATTTCAAATGACCATTGTTTCATTCCTATCATTTCAACCACACTTGCCACCTTCGGTAAACTTGCCTTAGCATTCTTCAAAAATTTAGGATCACAAATAAGCAAACTCAGGTGAAGTTCGAGAGGGATTTTTCTTTGGCAAAGGTCATAACTATCCTTAAAGCCAATTATATCATCAATTAGTGTATTAGATAAAGAGCTATAATAGACCCCTTCTTTTTTTCCTCGCTTTATACCATCCCCGGTCTTTATTGTTATTTTTTAAATTTTTTGCACATATTTCTTTTGTCCCATTTTAACATAGATTATAATTATGCGCTCATATATACATTATTTGTTTTTGATTATATTAATTCAAAATTATTTATACTTTTTTTTTACTTTAAGAGAATTATGCTAAAGTACTCATAGATATTTAAATATATTTCAAGATCTTAAAAAATATATTAAAAAAATAATTAGATGTATAAGTATGGAGATTACAGTATGCTGCAAAAAAATATATTATATTATACTCAAGGTCAAAATACGCAGGAAGATGATGTGTAACGGTATATATTAGAAAAAGTGAATAAAAATGCTGAATGGGCAACGGATATTGAAATACGAAGTGTTGCCACATTTCTCAATACCCCGATAATGGTGTATGCTAAGTATGGTGCTTCATTTTGCTGAAAAATGTATCCGCCATTTAAATATGATGATGGATTATATAAAAAAATATGACCAAATTATTCTGAATCCAATAATGTTATTGATTTTGAAAATTAATTACAAATCTTGATATTTAGCATAACCATATTGGAAATTATTGTTATAAAATAGTTGTTATACTCTCTAGCTATTGTCAAACTGTTCAAATTCAAATAATATTATTATACATCTTTAAATTATGATGGAATTTTATGTACTACCATGTATATATAAAATCTTATTAATTTAAATATTAATTAAAATGTTGTTTATTGTATATTATAAATATTTTATTATAATAAAAATAAGAAATTTGATATTTAAGGCTATTTAATTTATTTTCAACACTATATACTAGAGATCTGCAAACTTCGGGCCGGGCCTAATATTTTTAAAAAAAATTCGAGTCAGGTCGAACCTTAGATTTTTTTAAATATATCTAAATTTATCAATTATGTTGAATTTTTAATGTAAAATAAAAATATTTATTTAATTTATAGAAACTAGACGTAGACGGCTTATAACATATAAATTAATCTCTATATTTAAATAAATTCGGGCCAAGCCGGCAAAACTTTTTAAAAAGTATTTCGAACCGGGCCGGGCTTGAAAAATTAGGCCCGATGCAGCTAACTATATACTCTAAAATTTTTATATTTAATTTAAGGTAAGCTTAAAAGTTTAATATAGATATTTGAAAGAGTTATAACAGTTTTTTATTTGTTTTCAAATAATAGTGTTTATATCTTTATAATCATTCATTAAAAAACCATTCAACTTTTCAAAAATATAATTTAAAATAAAATAGGCGGCTTAAAATTAAGCTAATTTATGTCTTTTCTTGTCAAAAAAATTATTGCCAGGCTGAAAAACTTCCCCTGGCCAGTTTGGGCCAGGCCGACCTCTATTACTATGACCACTCACTGGTTAAGATTTTTTATTATAAAATTCTTATGATAAATATAATGAGCCATATTTTATTGAAATTTTTATAATCATAATAGATACTTAAAATACAATAAATTTAAAAATGCATTAATAGAAAATCAACATAGGAAAGAGGAAATTAAGCCTGAATATAAATATTCACAATTTTATATTTATTCAGAAAAAGGTTTAAAAATTATATTTTAAACAATTTTTTTAATATCATGGTATAATTTTATAATAATTTTTAAGCTAATATAAGGGATTCGATTTTTAATAATTTTATTTAAAAAAAATGATAGTTAAAATAATTCTATCAGAATTTACAAACTACCATTAGATATCTCAAATAAAGGTCTACACTGTAGATTAGACTATAAAGAAAAAAATAATGCAGAGGGATATGAGTGAAAAATATTTTTAAACTGGTGAATTTGAAATATTTTATAGGCAAGGTGGGCTTATAATATTTATTAAAAATGAATTATTTATTTCAAAATATTGCGTATTTTATAAGTTTAAAAGTAAAAATATAACAAAATAAAGTATCAAATTAATAGATAATTTTAACCATCGGAATAGTAACAACATCAGGCAGATATTAACATTTTTCAAACATATTGGTAAGCTTAAAAGTAAATTTTTAAAACAATTGGGATGGGAGTAAAAATTCTTATCCATGCCTCAAACTTATGAATTATGACATAACATTATCTCGTTAAATACCAAGGTATCGAAAACAAACATTTTAGAAATTTTTTTTATTGTAGTATATCAACATTTAAAAAAATTCATTATATTATTTTTTGAAAGTTCCAAAAATCAAATATTCTGCGGTAACGAGTTTATATTTTGGTGAAATAATTTTGTATGTATGATCAGTACATCACATTTATTTCACTTTTATGTCGTATTTATCTTGCACCTTTGAAACGACCTTTACGATTGGCATATGGTCATTCTCTACCACTAATTAAATCAATTAGACATCTGAATTTTCCAGTAAGGTATTGTTTTTCAGGTGGATTTCTAATAATAGATCACACAATTAATATTCTGAATAGAAGAAATATGTATTATCTAAGTGGCTAATTGAGAAAGTTAGAAAATAGATATCACCTTTTATTTTCTGTGAAGTCAATGATGATAATCACTCAAAAATCTGATAAATCAATTTCACTATGTTATGAGGTAATTATATCTAGTTGATCGATATTTTTAAAAAATTGAAATTATGGACTTTGACTTTCACTAAAAAAACTGATGATATATTTTTTTAATTTGTATTGCTTAGTAACAATCGACAACTTAAAAATTTTAATTATTACTAAACAGCCGGCTATATAGCTTCGACAAACAGCCTAATAAGTAAGAGAAAATTATATCCCCCCCCTAACATTTAGAACTTAGTTCAAAAGCTGTTTAGCTAAAAAAATAAGTCAAGCCAGGAAACTACCTAAAGGTTTTTATAAAATATTTTCCTTTTTACAAATATATTTTTTAGATAATTTTTATTTTCATCAAATCAATTTCTTAAGAATTGCAACTTAAAAATGATCGATCTAAAGAAAAAATGGATTCGGCTTTTCTTTATTTTATAAATATGCGAGTATATTTAATCCTATTTTAATAACTCCAGAACGTATTTTTAGCCGATGATGACTGCCTAGTAGTGTGGTTAAATTGCTTGATTAGGTCGAATTAGCAATATTGGTTGGGTTTTTGGTCGAAAAAATGAACCAACCCAACCAAATTGGTTGACTAAATCCATCGACCCGAGCACCAACTTATATTATTTTATTGTTAACTGAATGTTAGTATTTTGCTCAATTATATTTTTATGAATAGAGGACATTTCAATATTAACATAGAAATATTCATATTTATTATTTAATATTAGATTCCTTTTTTGAAAATGGTTTCTTTCATCTACCCGAGCACCAACTTTTATTTTATTGTGAACTGAATGTTAATATTTGGCTCAATTATATTTTTATGTATAGAGGACGAATATTTTAATATTAACTGAAATATTTATTATTTAATAATAGATTCCTTTTTTAAAAATGATTCTTTTCATCGTCCGGAGCACCTACTCCAAACCATATTATATTATTGTGATAATTTTGCCCAATCATATTTTTATGCATAGAGGACGAATATTTTAATATTAACATAAAAATATTCATATTTATTATTTAATATTAGATTCCTTTTTTTTTAAAATAGTCCCTTTCATCGACCCGAGCATGGACTAGAGCACCTACTCCAAACCATATTATATTGTGAATATTTTGCCTAATCATTTTTATGCATAGAGGACGAATATTTCAATATTAACATAGAAATATTCACATTTATTATTTAATATAGATTCCTTTTTTTAAAATGGTTCCTTTCATCGACCCGAGCATGGACTGGGGCACCTACTCCAAACCATA